GCCGGCCTGGAGCCTCCAGAGCGGGGGACCCATTCCCTCTTGTCCCTGGATGGCAAAGGCCCCGTGAGGCTGGTTCTGGGCAGAGGAGTTTGCCTCAGAGGCAAGGCTGGGGGACAGAAAAGACCAGCCCGCTTCCCCGCCACTCCCAGACGCGGAGCCCCCGCTGCCGCAGCCAGCCCTGCCGTGGGCCCGCTGAGCGTGGCTGCTGCCACGGCTCCAAGAAGACCCAGGGCTTCCCAAGCGAGGCTGCCAGGCAGCGCGTGAGGCCTGAGGTTGAGCAGCATTTTGTTTTACTTGAACAGTTTCAGAATTTTTCTTAAAAAGCTGTGCACTTGCCGGGCTCGGTGACCTACTCCTGGCTGAAGCAGGAGGATTTCAAGTTCGAAGCCAGCCTTGGCAACTTAGTGAGGCCCTAAGCAACTCAGTGAGGCCCTGTCTCTAAATCAAATACAAAAAGGGCTGTGGGGCTCAGTGGTTGAGCACCCCTGGGCTCAATCCCTGGGACCAAAAAAAAAAAAAAAGTCGTGTGCTTTCTCTTGTGACATCAGAAGATCTGGCAAACTTGGCTCTGCCATCCCCTCCCGTGAGGGGCCTGCCGGCTCCATTTCCCCACAGACCACACCCTTCCCTACTGCTCTGCTGGGCCATTTCTCTGACGTCTCCCACCCCTGTGGACATTTGGGTCTGCGACACCCACTAACCCAAGAAGCTTCCACACACCTTTCCTGAGCGCCAGTGTCTGGGTCACGTGGCTGTCGCATGCTCCAGCACCCCTGTCACTGAGGCTCTCCCTCCCTCTCTCCTGCCATGTAAGCCAGGGAAGGGACACGGGATCATGCAGCAAGATAAACAGCACGTCACTGACTCTTCTCAACACCTGTGGAGGTCACTGCTCTCTCCCCATTTTGCAGACCCAGAGAGGTCGGGGCCGCCCAGCCACTCTCCTTGGCCACTCCCAACCGTCGGGCCCCTTGAAGAGTTCTATCGGCACGGCTGCCTGGAGCTCCCCCAAACCTACCAGACGGAAGCCCTTTGGGAGGAGTGGGGGTCTTGTCACAGGAGGCTCTGCTGGAAGACCCTGGTGGTCCTCTGTCCTTGTTCCTCCCACCGTGAGGGGTGACCTCACTTCTCAGGTCCAGATGTCCCTCCAGACTAGCTGCAGAGTTTAAAGCCAGCCACCACCCCCCACCCGCCCCCAGGGCCTGCAGGGGGGAGGGAGGCGGGCGGGGCTGGAGGTGCAGGTGGCTGAGTTTCTCTGTGCCGTGTTGCTGGCCTCCACCCTGGCCTCCCCCCGTGGGGAAGTCCGCCCCCTCTCCTCTGGCCCCCCCGACTTGCACTAGCTCCTCATGCTCCAGGGCCCTGGGTCTCCAGCCGGTCAGGCCCCCTCCCCACCCGCAGCTCAGTGTCTCTGTCATTCCTGTCCTGCCTCCCGGCCATCCAGTCCCCCTCCGAGCTGGACGGCTTATGTGACAGATCAAGGAGCCACATCTGAATCAAAGGACTGTGGACTCCGCAGGAGAGGCCAGGGAGATGGTCCCCAATACAAACTTCTTGAGTGTAGGAGGGGACGACTCGGAGCTGGGGCCCGAGCGGAGGAGCCCACGGGGCCAGCACGTGGCCAGAGAAGGCTCAACCGTGGAAACCCCTGAGCTTGGACGCGCTTAGGGTTTGGGTCCTGGTGTCTGACGCTTAGTTTAGCTGAGCGATTCCTCTTCCGAAAACACCAGGCTGAGGGGAGACCTGTCCCTGCAGGGAGAGCTCCACAGGGTAGGGGTCAGGTCCGGCTTGTTCAATGCTTTTCCTCAGCTTGTGGGATCGTAGGCCCCCAGGAACCATCAGGGAATTAAATGAATATTGATCAAACAAGAAACTATACACGAAGCCCTTCACACAGCACCGAAGAGCAAATGATCCCACAGCAAATGTTCGATGATATTTCCAGATTACCAGCAGGCCACAGTGGGGGGCACAGGGACCATGGAATTCTAAGGGAATCCCCGGAAAGTCTCAGTCTGCGATCCCAGAAACTGAGAACACTCAGGAACACGGCGGGCATCATCTGTCAGGCCCCGCCCTGCTTCCTTTGTCCTGGGGTCCTCTGATTCCCGGCACAGGGGGGCTTTCCCAGAAGGAAAGATGAGGAAGTCACAGCCTCTGCCAAACCACCCAGCCAGACCTGATTAATCCATGACCACGCTGCCGCTCCTGCCAACCAGCTGCCTGAAGAGTACTTACTCCACCTGTGGATCGAATCGGGCGCTGCGAGGCTGGGTGCCCAGAGGAGCTGTGGGCAGGGGTCACCTGCAGCCTCACCAGGGAGATGCGGGCTCTGGGCAACCCCTGTCCTCTTGTCACAGATGGGACACCGAGGCCTAGAGAGGGGTGGGCCCTGAACCCCAGAAAGGTGGTCACTCTGCAGAGGTTTAAGGTACCCCACAAGGCCCCGACTGTCACCATCCCAGCCTGGCCCAGACATCAGGAGGCTGCATGAACCTCAAAGGAAGTGTAGGGCAGGGCCTTGGACAGGCTGAGAAGATGAGGGTCCCCTGTGGCAGCTCAAGGCTGGCCAGAAAACAGGCGATGACTCTGCTCAGCCGGCTGGGGAGGGCGAGCCTTGACCAACCTTGGACTGTGCAATGCATTCCAAGGGCAGAGGTCGTAGGTCACAAGGAAGACCAGAGACCAAAACCGGGGCCCCCGGCTTCCCAAAAGTGCTCATCAACAGGTGGCTTCCAGATCCGCTTTCAAGTTCCTGTAGAACTTAGGGAAGGCTAGGAACATGGGGGTCCAAACAGACCCCTGTGGGTGTACCTGCTTCCCCTGGTCTGCCAGCCTTGAACCTGGCGACTCCACAAACGTCTCCCTTTGCCTTTGTCCACGGAATCCACACACATCGTCAGAGTGAAATCAAAGGAGCCTGGCTCGGTGGCGCGCCCGTGGTCGCAGCGACTCTGGAGGCCCATGCAGGAGAATCACAAGTTCAAAGCCACTCTATCTCAAATTTAAAAATAAATAAGGGCTGGGGGTGTAGTTCAGAGGCAGAGATCCCCAGGGTTCAACCCCCAGCACCGCAAAACAGAGTAAAACAAAACGCAAACAAGCGAAAACAGGAGGCCGCACTGGCCCTGCCCACCCACTCACAGATCGTGCCTGTCGCCAGCCAGCCAATGGGCGGCCAGCTTCCCCCACACCGGAAAGCTCTGCCTGAGCCCAGACCTGCTTCTTTGCAAGGCCTGTTTAAGATGTGGAAATTATACACACAGGCCTATTACATACTGTACGAAAATAGGATTATGCTATGCACACCATGCAGCAAATCGCTCTCCCCCTTGTGAGGAATTACACACTTGGTTAGTACTTAGAGCTGCTGTGGAGGCATGCCCAGGGCCTGCTGTCCCAGCTGGGTTCTGGGTGTAGCCCCCGCCCACGCCCACTGACACTGTGCTCCTGGCCCCAGTTATGCTTCAACACCCCCGGGCCTCCCTCAGCCTGCCCCAGTCCTTTCATGCCATTATTTTGGCCAGTATATATTTTATTCAATACTTTTTTTTTTAAGCATGCACTGTGTGTCAGGCCCTGTTCTGAGCACTTCACCAACTTAAACTCATTCACCCTCATCACGATCCACAGGAGGCAGAATCAGCAGCCCCCTCTACAGATGGCTCAGGGATGAGGTCCTTGCCCCTGCAGACCAGCAGAGCATCTGCCAAATAAACAAACGGCCTGGGACGTGCAGAACCAGTTGGTCACCTACACCCACAGTCTAAACAACAGCTCTGAGAATCACAGGTGGTGCTTGCCTTCCATGAGTCTTGCCTCCCCACAAAGTGTCCTCAAAACACATCCTTTTCCAGAACTGTGCATCGAGAGCTAGTAGTTTTAACTTGCCCACACCCTGTGTTCCCAAGAAAGGTCTGACCCTGGCCCAGCCCCTGGAGGTGATGTGTAACTTCCAAGCCTTTGGAACATCCTGGCTATGTTCTCCTGAGGTCTTGAGGCACAGCAGAGTCTATGCTAGTGATATGACTTCTGGTGGGGTCTTGGGCCATGTAGTTTGACCTCTGGAGAGTCCAGAGACTAAGGTCAACCACACAGGCATCTAGCCATGCAGATGTGATCAACCCCCTAGTTAAACCCTGGATGCCAAGACTAAGGCCAGCTTCCCTGGCTGCTGATGGACCACACCATGGTCACACCTCACTGGTGGGATTCCACGCTGCTGGCATGCCTCTGCTAGGAGAGGAGAGCCCTAAGCTTGTACCTGGTGTCTCCTGGTCCCACCCTGGACTCTCTTCCGTTGCTGCTTTCGGTCTGTCTCCTTTTGCTGTAACAAACTATAACCTCAAGCATAATGGCTTTGCAGAGTTCTTTCTAGTGAGCCTGGGGGGAGGGGGTCTTGAGGACCCTTGAACACAAGTGCCCACTGACTCCATGGACATCCCCTGCACTTCAGCACCAGGCTTTAGCTCAGCCTCACCCATGCTGCCAGTTCCACTGTCCCTAGGCCCCAGGAGACACTCTCATCCACAGGAGCACATCCCCGATTGAAACCTAGGCTTCTGTGTGCACAGCCTCAGGAGTCAGAAGCCGTCCCCTTGGCTAACACCTGGTAGCATCCCAGCAGGTAACATCCTCAAAACCAGGTAACATGCCAGGATCAAGATGGTGTCCCTGGAACCAGGTAACATCCAGAAAGCAGGTAACAGCCCAGTAATCAGTTAGTGGCCATGGTTACAGATAATGTCCTGGGCCAGGTAACATCCTGGGACTCAGGTGATGTCCCAGCAACCAGATAACATCCTGGGTACCAGGTAATGTTCCAGGTGCCAGGTACCATCCTGGGTATCAGATAACTTCCCAGGTAATATTCCAGGTACCAGGTGACATCCAGGTACCAGGTACCCCCCTGGGTATCGGATACCATCCCAGGCACCAGGTACCCCTGGGGAACCAGGTAATGTCCCAGGCACCGGTGACAGCAGCGCCCCAGGGGGCCTTACCTGCCCACGACCTCGATGTTGGAGATGGCGTAGAAGTACTTGTAGAGGTTCTCGCGCTGCACGTAGGTGCCGCCCAGCGCGGGGCGCAGCAGGCGCATGCGCAGGTCGGTGAGGGTGAAGAACTCCTTGAGGCCCTTGGCGCTCTCGAGCCGCGTGTACAGGTTGTCCATGTTGCGCAGGTCGGGGCCGGCGAAGATGGCGAAGCGGTCCCGCACCTCGAAGCGCACGTGCTTCTCCTTCTTGGAGCCCGCCCAGCGCGAGTACTCCTCGGTGCACAGCACGCGGTGGGCGCTGGAGGACGACATGTCGCGGGCGCGGCGGGCGGACATGCCGAAGGCCTCCATGCAGTCCTCGGCGTAGAACTGGTAGGGCTGCCACGTGCGCCCGTTGTCCAGGGACTTCTCCAGGACCATGACCGTGGGCCGGCCGTACTCGAAGGTCATCACCACGTCGTCGGTCAGCTCCACGCTCTTGTTCCACGACAGGGTGATGTTGGCCTCCAGCGGGCTGGGGTAGCGGCTCCACGTGATGCTCTGCCAGTAGGTGGCCAGCCCCTCCTCCTCCCGGTCGAACATGAGCCGCGGCGGGTGCGCCAGGTCGGGGTTGGAGGCGTCACACTCGTTGCTGCACAGGTAGGGGTTCTCCTGCGGGGCAGAGAGGAGGCCAGGGTGGGCGGGCTGCCAGGGCCTGGGAAGCCCCACAGCCAGCCCCTGCCGGTGCGCCCAGATGTCTGCCTGCCATCACAGAGCCTCTGGTTGGGCATCAGGAAGAGCCCAGCCCCACACCAATAATATCACATCAGGGAGACCGTCAGGGTGGAAAGACGCGGGGTGTTAGGCACTCTGTGCTCTCCGCTTAATTTTCTGCAACCTTAAAACTGCTCTAAAAAATAAGATCTATTAATTAAAAAAAAAGAAAAGAAAAGAAAAAAAAAACTCACGGTCACTAACAACCGCACATCGCCTCAGACCACTTACAGCCCTTTGATAAATATTTCAGGTGTCTGGTTTGCTCAGAGGCAAAATGGCTTGGATCTGAGTTAAAAACCTCTCACTCGCAAATGAGCCATTTGGCCCCCTGGGGGGGGAGCGGATACATCACCTTCTGAAGGGCTGACTTGGCACCCCTGCTGCCCCTGCTGGTGGCACTGCAGCCTGCCTCTGGCCATGGCTTTGATCCTCGGGAGTGGAGGACCGCTTCCCAGACGGCCCAGGGCCCCTCAGTGGGCAGGGCCAGCCCAGGGGTTCACTGAGGCAGGATCCACAAAACTCTCTTTGACTAAAATAGATATGTCCTTGGTACCCCATGGTGGCATTGCCCACTCCACGTGGCCTGTCCCTGCTGATTCATGGGATCTGCACACTTTGGGGTACAAAGAACTCACCCTTGAGTCCACACTCACTGATCAGATGGGGAAACTGAGCCCCAGGGCAGGCAGGACGGGTGCCTCGGACCTGCTCCTGCCCTGCCTGGTGCCCCTCTTCCTCCCCCTCCTGCCCTGCACAGCTTCAGGGACCAACACTGCGGTGAGCTTACTGTCACCATGGCAGGTAGAGGGCTGCTCCGGCTGACACCTGTGACGAGGCCAGTCACAGCCCATCCTGCGCTGCGGTCCTGAATGAGGAGGACTGGAGGCCCTGGGGGTGGCCAAGGCCAGGCCTGGTGATGAGAAGGCAGAGCGCTGGGGTGAGACGGGCCTGCCTGTGAGGGACAGCAGCCAGGGAGGGCACAAGTCCAGGGGCAGACCGAGCGTTGTGCTGGTAGGAGGAGGAGCCCCGGGCAGACACCCTGAGAGCTGCCCCGGCTCTGGGGCTGGGCACAGTTTGCACTAGGCCCTGTGCCCTGCGCCTCCCTATTCTGCTGCCCCCGCCCCCTGCCTTCTTAGGAGTTGACTCGTGTCTCCTCAAAGCCACGTGTTGGTACCCTAGTCCCCGGTACCTCAGAACGGGACCATCTGGGTGCAGAGTTTTTAAAGAGGCAATTGAATTAAATGAGGGGTGGGCCTCTCCAGCCGGATGGGTCTGTTTAACAAGAGCAAGTGTGGGCACCCAGAAATACTAGGGCCCGCAGAGTCAAGGCCACCTGTGAGCCTTGGAGAGCGGCCTCAGGAGGAACCAGGCTCCCAGCACCTTGACCCGGGACTTCAGCCCCCGGCAGGGACACCTTTCTGTCGCCGAAGCCACTGGGTCTGTGGCACTTTTCACAGCAGCCCCTCCTGGGAGAACAAGAGGAGCGGGCAGAGGCTATCGCTGGGCCTCTTCCACAGCTGGGTTTCTCTGCCCGCTGGACCAGGGGCATGCGCTGGCCTGCAAGCTCCTCTCAACCCAGCACTGAAGCTGTCCCCTGGCTCCCACGCCCCCTCTTACCTCAGGGCTTCTGATTCTTGGCCACTGTCCCTTCTCCCTGTTTTCAGGGCCCTCCGGGTGGCCCTGATTACCTGACTCAGTCCGTGAGCCAGTTCCCTCCCCTGAGACAGTGAAGCCTCCGTGAAGGGCCTGGACCTGGAGACTGCCCACTAGATCGTGGCTCCTATTATTGTTATATTAATTAGCTTAGTAGCTAATTAATGACACGATGGTAACTGTAGTGATGCTAATGGTCTCATGTTGAGTGCCGGTGTTCCTGTTAACCGCAACGGCAGTGAGTCAGCCACACCTAGTCTCCCTGGTCCCTCTTCCATCCCCCTGCCTTCCCGTCCCCTGCCCTGCCCACTCTTTTGATGGTCCCTGGGGAGGGGGACAAGGGACCCCTCAGAGCCCCTTCTGCTCCCGGCAGCCTGTCTGCCAAGGGAAGACTTGCAGCCGGCTCTGCCAGGAGATGGGGCTCCACCTGGCTGCCACCAATGTGCCTCTGTCCCAACCTGCAGGGCCCAGTGGCCCCCAGGAAGCAGATGGTCAGAAACTAATGAATCAGCCTGAGTGTTTACCAGCCTGCACCTGCTGCAGGGGGGCTCTGTCAACAGCCAGCAGGAGAAGTAAACCCAGGCGGGGGCCACCACAGCCCTCCCTCTCCCTCTCCCTCTTCTATTTCTTCCTTTTCTTCCACCTCCCTCCACCCTGAGGACTCAGAATTCCATTTCACCATTTAGGAGCATGGACGGTGTGTTCCGGAAAGGCCACGTCCACGCAGAGCTCACCACCCTCACCCCAGACAGCACCAGCTCATGCTCTGGCCCTCTTCCTGTCCTTCCCTGGGGGGGATCCAGGGATGGAGCTGCTGATGAGCCCAGTTTGCCAGAAGCCCCCTCCAGAAAAATGCAGTGACCCACTACATTTCCCATGTGACTTCCAGGGACCCTCAGAGCCCCAGGTCCCCTGTTGGAGGCTGCAGCCCTAAGGAAACTGGCTCTGGGGTCTGAAAGCCCTGAGTTCCTTCTCACTCGGCTCTATCCTTGGAGGCTGTGTGACCTTGAGAAAGTCACTTTACTTTTCTGAACCTGTTTCCTCATCTGATATCATGTGAGATCGTAAGTATGAAAGGTGGAGAAAATGCCTCCAAATGGTAGCAGTTGTTCTTAAGCAGCGGTTTCACACACATTAGCCCCAGGAGTCTCCCGGCTAGCCCCAGGAGTCTCCCGGCAACCCCCAGGGAGGAGTCGTGAGGCTGCACCGTGCACCACCTTGGCAGCTGCAGACAGAGGAGCCCAGCAGAGACGCCATGTGGCTGGTCTGGTGCTTCCCACCGATCCCCACTGCATGTCCCCTGAGGAGGGCCGGTGCTATTGCTGTGTCCACCTTATAGATGGAAAACTGGGTACACATGGGCCCCACATCACCTTCCCTGGATGCCAGGGGACCCAACCTTGGGGAATCTTGGGGAAAACCCCACCCCGGCCATCTGCAGCTCTCCGTCTCTAGGGACAAGTTCCCTGAAACTCGAGGCAGAGCAGCCAGCCTGGACCAAGAGCACCAGGGAGCCAGGTGGGGACGAGTCTCCTACCCAGACACTAAGCAGGAGATGTCTGGCACGAGATATTCTGTGGAGAGACCATTTTATGTCAGGCGTTTGAAACCTCCGTCTCCTAAATGCTTTTGCTTTTATGCTATTTTCTGTGCAAAGGGTACAGCTGGAGTCAGAGGCCAGGTTGTAAACACCGCAGACGAGCTGCAGGCGCACACGTAATTGAATGGGAAGGTGAAGTGCAGCAGGGACGGAGGGAACGGTGCCCTTGGGAAGTCCAGCTGCTGGAACCTCCAGGCCACTAACCAAGGAGCCCGTGGAGGGACAGCCACCAGAGACGTGGAGAAGATAGCTCACCTCCCCTGCCCTGTGAGCTCCTGGGCTGGAGGGCTAGCTCCCGAGGGCAGCAGCCTCCTCCACTTCCGTTCCCACTGTGGCCCCAGCTCCTGGCATCCCTTGGGCACTTGGGAGGTCTTGTGGGATGAATGGAAGTCCCATGAAGGCCATGACCTGGACCCCTCAGAGTTGCTATAAGAATGACACCAAGTGCCACGTGGCAAGCCCCCTGGTGGCACTCAACAGCTGGTCTGGATGCAGGGAGGGCGCCATGACCGTGGTCTGGCCCTGTGGCTCCAACCAACAGGAAGACGGGCCACTTCTGCCATACGCCCTCGGAGCCCGCCCTGCACAGAGCACCCCTTGGGAGTCACCCCACCCCCGCTGCTCAGCCTTCCTCAAGGCTGGAATCCTTTTATTTACATTCTACAAACAAGAAAAGACTGAGAGACGTCCCAAGATCACGGAGCTCTGCAGCAGGACAAGAAGCCCCAGCTCTGAGACAAGTTGGGAAACTGTGCCCTTCACCCAAAAGGGAAAGGACGACACCGCCCCCAGCCCGTGCCACTCTCCCGAGACACGGGTTCCACCCGGGAGGCAGACAGCCCATCTCTTTGCCACCCAGGCATGTGGGCAGGCCTGGAACAGTTTAGCAGCTGACAGATTTTTTGAACCTGTCTGCCGAGTTGTCAACCTCACTGGGGGGCTGCAGGCAGCTGCTGTGTCCCAGGTGGGAGGTGAGAGATTGCCAAGCAGAGGCTCAGAGTGTGGGGTGCTGAGGGAGGAGGCTGAGCTCTGCTCTTACAAAATTTGGGGGCCCAGGGAGGAGCCAAGGTCAGGGAGGGAGTGGAAAGGCAGCAGTGCTAGCCCCACCCCCACCTTGGCTGTAGCTCCTGGAACTCTGGGGAGAATCTCTGCTGTCTTGGGCAAGCGTATAAATCCGCAAGCACCCTGCCCCCCCCCCCCCCCGGGTCATGGATGCAGGGGACTTCCCCTAACACCGTATGTGACCTTGGGCCCAGCCTTGCCCCCTCTGTGCCTCAGTTTCCCCATTCATGAGATAAGTGGGAGTGGGTGACCAGGTTTGACACCGACATCCTAAGTCTTAAATCCTGCTTGCTCCTGAGTCCCCCACGCTGCTGGGCAGAAGGGCACAGAGACAAGCTCTCCTCCCCCAGACTCCAGGGAGAAAGCCGGGGTGCCCGGGGAATTCTCCCTAACAAATTATTTCCTATTTAATGGTAAGAAAAGTTGCAGCGGGATAAATTATTAACAAAGCGGAAACGGAGATTCTGCTGGGAGCAGCTTCTGACTGAGCGGCCTGCGTCTCTAATGTCTCTCCTCCCAGCCCCTCTCCGGCTCCCTCTCCTTCTCCTTCTGTGGTTTCATTGATCCCGGTCCCTCTAGC